AAAGAATTACAGAATGTTTACATTTTAAAATTAGATAAGACCTTAAATTCCTAAATCCAATAACAATGAATATAAGAACCTGCAATTTATCTGTACCCCCCCCAAAAAAACATGTCCCTGTAGTCTGCTTTAAAATCTTACAACTAAGTACGCCTTTTCTTTTCATGTTGGGCAAACCTAGATGCTATATAGTTCTTACATTCTTGTCAAAATTTATACTGAACTCAAGTCTATGTCTTCCTAATCACCTGCTGGTCTGCTTTCTAACAAAAGAGAATTAATACATTCTCTCTTCTATTTATGTTTCTGAAACATGTATCTGAGGATAGTCATGTGTCTCCCACCCTTTAGTCTCCTCTTTCAGCTAAATATAGGATCCACAGACTTCCTTTAGGTCCTGGAGGCACCTCTGATGTAAAACGCACTTCTACTTTGCCAAGTAACCTTTTAAAAAAAATTGCTACTTGTCAATTTTGGGTGCAGTATCAGAGAAGAACACCATGAAAAGGCTATTAAATTCTTCCCTTTCCAACTAACTATCTATATGAAGGTGGATTCTCTTTACATACCTCGATCAAAATACATATTACAACAGACTGAAAGCAGAAGCAAAATCTAGCTGTCTTGTAGTGAGCCAGAATTTAAAGTTATTTGCAAAAAATATAAAATAATGCCATTAGCTGCACTAATTTTTTGTTTTAGAACACATTTATTCTTCACATAAATAACATGTAATGGGTAAGTACTCTTTAAATAAATTAATATTTTAAAATTCTCAACATTTTATACAGCAAATATCAATAGCCAATAGCCCACATAAACAAAACCTCTTTGAGGTCTCAACAATTTTTGAGAATAAAGCGGTCCTGAGACCAAACAAACTAAATCATGGCCTGTTTCTCATGAGCAGATTTCCAGACCTAGAACCCTTTGATACACAGCTCTATTATCTTCTAGCCAGTGATTTTGTTTTAATGTCTTCAAGGATTTGGGGATTGAACCCAGGACCTTACCATTGAGCTACATCCCCAGCCCTTTGGGGTGGGGGATGTCTCACTAAGTGGATAAATTGCCCAGGCTAGGCTTGAGATCCTCCTGTCTCAGGCTCCCAGAGTGCTAAGATTTTAGGCTTGAGCTATTACACCCATCTAGTTAGTGATTTCAACAAACTAATGACCTGCAGAACCATCTGGTATATTTTTATTTTTAACCTCTCATTACAGGTACTCTATCAAGTCAAATTCATACAGTACTTTAATTCTTCTAGCTAAGGAATGCACGCTTCAAATATGGAAACAGAAAGCAGCAGTTTAATTGTACTGTGATGCCATCTTTTGGACCAAACTACTTCCACTATTACAAAAAGGTACAGCAAATTATTCATAGCTGACAAGATGGAATAGGAAAGAAAATGCAAGCACTTCATAAAATCAATCATTTGATTCCTAGCCATAATCCATTCAAAAATACTCATGAACTGACCCCCCCAAAAAAAATCAACACAAAAGGAAAAAAGGAAAGAGAAACCAAAAATTCATCTCCCTATCTAGCCAAAATGGCACTAGGTTCCCAGACTTCAACAAAGTAAAACTGATTTAAAAACTTACTTAATTTCTCACTTCCCCACCTCTTTAACCACAGGACTGTAGATGACAACAAAATGGGATGAAGATTATAGGTTCAAAAGACCCAAATCTGGAGCTATAATTGCTGAGCACCTCTAAGAAAACTTCCAGGTTAATAAAGAAAAAGCTTTAAGTTCAGAGGAAAGAAAATAGTCTATACTAGCCACTGAAAGCTCTAAAAGGCTTGCATTCACTGACAAATCACACAAATTCCTAAACCCTAACACCCCTAAATCTTTTAAAATTTAAACTTGTATTTTATTTGAAAGTCAAATAAAATTATAATATAATAGGAATAGGGTAAGAAAAGGAGGAAGAAAGCCAAAATACACAGCATTAAAAATTTTTTGTTTCAAATTTGTCAAAATTGGGCTGGGGATTTAGCTCAGTGGTTCCGCCACCTGCTTTGCAAGCCCAAGGTCCTGAGTTCAATCTCCGGCACCAAAAAAAACTACAAAACTGAATAAAGAAGGGATTGGGACATAGCTCAGTGGTAGGGTGCTTGCCTAGCATGTTCAAGGTCCTGAGTTCAATCTCCAAAAAAAAAAAAAAAAAAAAAGTCAAAATTTCAAAATAAGTAACTTTTACAGTTACATATGGCATATCTTTAACTCATTTTCAAAGTTAGTTTGCTTAAAAGGAATTGACCACAAACATATTTATATATGTACACATATACATGTGTATCTTTTTTTTGGTACTGGGGATTGTACTTGGGACCTTGCGCTTGGGAGGCAGACGGAAGAACCACTGAGCTAAATCCCCGGCCCCCTGTGTATCTTTAAGTTCATGTTTTTCTATTACTATATGCTAAACTGGTTAAATTTTTCAAGAAACAAAGTTAGTTCTTTCTCTCTTTGCTATTTTCAGTACTTTCATATGCCATTAAGTTCTTTCTACCATAGCAGTCACCTGAATTCAAAAGCTCTCAAATTTCATCATTTTATACAACATAATAACATATACACCTGCAAAGGCATTAGTAAACACTTACTAAAATAAAAACTAGGACCTCACTCAACAGAAAACACCTCCATCTTGATAGGTGGAATTCATTTCATATATACAATTCCTGTAGTATTAGTGAAATGTGAGCATACAGCTCCAATCCTCAAAATGAGTATACAATCCTAGAGGATTAACACAGTTTTAACTTACATGCTGGTTAGTCAAAAAGAACTATCCCACTGTGGCCACAGAAGTACAGTATTTGGTGTGAAGGCTGGGGTTGTAGCTCAGTGGTAGAGCACTTGCCTAGCATGCACAAGGCCCTGGTTCAATCCCTAGCACCCCATACACATAACACACACACACACACACACAAGTAACTGGTGTGAAGTATCACTTTCACAAAAACATATTGTCTCATTTCATGAGACCACTATAAATTAAAAATATCTATTGTAAACTGAACTGCTGGAAATAATGCTGGTTATTTGGAAGTTTAAACCAAATTACTCCAACCTTCCAAAGTTTTTCAAACATCAGGAAAAGTACAGAGGAGAAAAGTACACATAGATGAGAAGCTTAACAGAGCTGAAGTTGCCTCAGAAGCTCACAATCTAGATTTTCTGTCTCCTAAATTCCCAGTACTGATTAACAGATGTCAACAGACAACAACTCAACACTATGTCCTCAGTATCTAGCATAGGTCCTGGCTCATAGTAAAGGCTCAATAATACTAGAGAAATGAATGCATGAACGATAAAAATTGCAGTCTTTAAAAAGTAGTAAAATGGTCTTTTGCAATTCACAACACTATCATTACACATTTTAATGAAACTACAAACAAAAGTAAAAATATGCTAAAAAAAAAAAAAAAAGCACCAGCTCTATTTACAAAATACATTCAAAAATACTCAAGTTAAAATTTTCAAGTGCAAAAAGAAAAACTGGTTGTGTTAAATTTGAGTCAATGAAAAAGCTTTCATCTTTTCTAATAATGAAAATCAGTGTTGGGGTGAGCTGAAAGGGAAAAATGCCTGTCAATGTAGTGGCCATGTTTAATGGATGCCACAAATCAAACCTTTCCCTGAATTTTCTAGAGCATATTCATGCCAATCTTTGAGCCTATTGTCACTTTCACACATGCTCACAGGAACAAAATGACAAAGAATGCTATGCCAGAACCACTGGATTCTGGGCACAAAACACTTGATTAACAATTGTCAAAGCTCTGAATAGTAAATATGGACAGATATTTTCAAAAATAAATTAATCCCACCGATTCCTACATAAATGGAAGCTCTTGGTTTCTTTAAAAGCTTTACTGGGGTGTTGGACTTTCAAACGTGCTTTAAAAAAAAAAAAAATGTGCCTATAATCTCCTTGTGTGAGACAACTGGGAGTGAACAACCCATTTACCAGTTGCTGATGAATACCGCTACCAGTTTTTCCAGACAAAAGAGCGTTAAACGAGATTCGATGCACATTTATTCCTTCCTTATAAATGCGTGTTCTCCCAAATTCCATTTTATGTGGCATACTTAAAGTTAAATAAAGCAAGTTGAAATTTTAGTCAAAAAGCACTCCGGTGCCTTACTAGCTATGTAACTGCTACATCTGGTGGCAGCACACTTGCATGCAAGACGCCAGAAAACTTAGAAAACAATTGTAACCGATCTGGTGAGTGTTTGCAGTAACCTTTACGCAGATATTTCCCACAAAACCCACAACCCTGTCAAAGAACGGCAGCCTACTTGCACTCGAGAAGATAACGCACGAACACGCAGGAGGCGATGGCGAAGGAGAGAAAGTTGCAACCATCTGGAGGAGTGGTTTAAACAGCCTGCCCACGAGTCAGTCTGCCGTTCGAATTGCTCTAGGGGACCACTCTGGAAATCAAAGTCTGCCTGGATAATTTCTGCGTCTCTTCCCACAGGGCAGAGAGCCCCTGCATGCGAGGGGCATCCTCCGGGTCAGGGGCAGCAGACCTCGCAGATCGGGGCCCGCCTCTATGGGAGGAGTGCGCGGGGGAAAGGGAGGGGGCTCCGGGATGAATGCTCCAACGGGAGGAAAAGCCCACCAGAGACTGGAGGCCAGGAGGTTAAGAGTACTGAGTGTTTCCGCAAATGGAGCAGAAAGGGACTGGCGTCCGGGGAGCGGCCTCGCGCCCTGGCAGGACCGGCCCCCGACAGCCCGAGTCTGCGCGCCTCACCCGGTCCCCACCAGCGCGCGGCCCCTCGTCCGACTCCTCTGCCACCCGCGATCCGCCACCCACGGCCAGCGCACCACCTCCCCGGGCCCGGCGGCCTCGCATCCACCTCGTCGCCGCCACCCTCCACCGCGGGGCCGGGCGGCGGGGCGGCGGGGGACGCGGGGCCGCGGCGCGGGAGCGAGAGAGGGAGGCCCGCGAGCTGACGCGGCGGCGCTTACCTTCCCTGGGCCTCCCGGATGGCGGCGTGTGATTCAGCAGAGACCTGGCCGCCGCCGCCGAGCCTGGGGTTGGAGACGTGGAGAGCTGGGACCAAGATGGCGGCCCCTCCAAACTTCCACTGCTACTTTGGACACTCATCAAGCTACTTTCTGGGAACCCGACTCCCCCCCTGCGACGGCGGCGGCGGCGGCAACGGCACCGGCACCCGCCTCCGTCATGGCGGGGAACGCGCTGAGGGCGAGCGAGAGCGCAAGGGCTGAGAGGGGAGAGTCAAGGGGATAGGGAGGAAGCCGAGCCGAGGGGCGGTGGGGAGGGAAGAGGTGAGGGAAGAAGCGGGGACGGGGAGGAGGGAAGGGGGGGAGCAGCGAGGGAGCGGGCGGGCGCGCCGGCGAGGAGGCGGAGGGCGGGAGAGGGGCGGCGGAGGCGTCGAGGGGGCGCCCGCGGGGGCCGGGGTCGGAGCGCTGGCTGCGCCGGCCGGGGAGACTTTCGCGGGCGGAACCTGCCGGCACCTCTGCAGTGCGTCGGCCCGCGGCGTCGCCCGGGCGGCGGCGGCGGGCGGTGGGTGGCGGCTGAGGCGGCGGGGTAACCTCTGCATCAGTTACAGGCGGCGGCAGCGTCACGCGCCGCCTGTGCAAACACTATCGCGAGGCTCCTGCGCCTCCGGTAACCGCGGCGGCCGCAGGAGCAGGCGCGGGGGAGGGACCTGCCGGGGGCGGAAGGCGGCGGGCGGCAGCGGGCCCGCGAGGAGCCCGGGTTCGGGGACTCGCGTGCGCGGGGCCCGCTCCCCGCGCCGGCCAGAGGGAGGCGCGCCCGCCCGCGCCGCCCCGGCTCCCGCGCCGCTGCCACCTGACTCCCCCTCTCCCGCGGAAGCGCGCCTGGCTCCCGACCCACACCCAGCTCGGCGAGCTACGCTGGTGCTCTCGCCGCGCTGTCGCGGCTCAGGAGTTCGCTGTGATCGTTTCTCAAAATGGAAGTGAAAAGTTAAGAGCCGCTTCTTTCTGGCCTCTCTACGTGCTGTGCAGAAAACCTGTGTGCGCCTCCCCGTCCGAGGATAGGAGAAATTACCAAATAAAAGAGCTGAGAAAATTGGGGAGGTGGGGTGTAAGAGAGAGGGTTTGGGAAATAAAACTTTCTTTTTCTTTTTTTGGTAAAATAGTCTTTAATAAAAGAATTGAGATACAATCCTGCCAGTGTATGTGTATATAATACTGCCAGTTATATGTGTAGTATAGCAATTCTTTGTTTTAAAACATTAAGTGGAAAGTGTGAATTTTGTAAAATCTTGACTACTGAATTCATGTATTTAGAAAACTTACGGTGTTCATCTTGTAGGAGAGGATATGGTTTCTATACATTTCCAGTTTGTTTCGGGAGCCACAGTGAAGTCCTGACTACGAAATCCCAAAACAAATTAACAGCATTTTGCTACAATTTATAGATAGAATGTAGCTTTTTACTCACCCAGCCACCTACACACACCAGCGATTGGCCATCTTGTACATAAAAGAACAGCCTGATACAGTAGTTCAGGAAAAATACAAGGTTGTTGCTTTCTTTGAAAAACCAAATTGGATAGAGCACTAAAAAGATTATGATGTACAACTGTACAGACAAGAGGAAATGGCATGATTACCAGGGGACAAAAATGTCATTTCTATTTTTTATTTTTATGACTTTGCATTTCTCACAGTAATGCTGTCTTCAGAGAAACTATCATACTAGACTAGAACCTTGGTTGACAGTTACCTCCAGAAGTCATTTTAGTTTTCTTGGGCTTCAGATTCTGCAGTGAGTTTTGTCACCTTTTCAAATATAAGAGGAAGATCTCAGAAATTAACTGTCGAGGCATAATTGGCATAAGATATTTAAAAAGTACACTTCGATAAGCTTGATGTGTATATAGTCCTGAAACCGCTTCTACAATCAACTTGGTGAGTATATTATGCTCCCAAGTTTCCTTTTCCATTGTGGTTCCTCACTCCGCTGCTATCCCCAACTAACATAGATCTGCATTCTGTTGCTACAGAGTTCTTAGAATTTTGGATAAATGGTAGTATACAATTTTTACTCTTGTGCGGCACCTCTCACTCAACGTAATTATTTTTGAGATTCAGCCACATAGTTGCATTTATCAATCACCTGTTTCTTTTAGTTACTAAATAGTCATTGTATGAATGTACCATTCTTTGTTTATCCCTTCAACTACTGATGGACATTTGCATTGCTTCTGCTTTTTGACTATGATGAATGATGCTGCTATGAAAATTGATGTACAAGTCTTTGTGTGGAGTGTGCTTTCCATTCTCTTGGGTTCATACCTAGGGCCCCACCATTGCATTTTTATACTAAAGTACATGCACTGTAAGGGGAAACTTCTGATAACATAATAACATAGATAATTCTGTGTTTTTAAGAGAAAGTGTAGCCTGCAGGCTGTGGCAAAAAGAGAATAAGACAGGAAGGAAGTTAAGAGACATGGGTATTAGTATCAGCAGGTAACAATCTTTTTTCAGTTTCCTCATCTGTGAAAAAGGAATTAGAGTCACTGGGTTGCTCCTACCAGTTCCCAAACTCAGTTCTCCAAGAATAACCAACAAAGCCCAAGCAGAGGTTGGATGGCCCTAGGTTATCTTCCTCTGCATATTTCCCAAAGCTTCCAGTTACCTTTCCACCACTGTGTCATATTTTATGCAGACTGGCTCCTTTTATTTTAACTGGTAACTAGAAAAACAGTATATACATAGTCAAATTACTTTAGTTGTATTTCAGCTGTGAGTGCTGCCTAAGGACAACTAAATGTTTCTCATCTTCGTGAAGCTTATGGTAAGGAAAACCTTCACTGACTGAAAAAGAGGCCTCTACCAGCAACAAGGAACTAATTTAAAAAAAAAAACAAACCATGTCTTAGCTTGAAAATGGATGTCAGAGCATCATTTAAAATAGTGTTTTCAAAAAATACCAAAGAAGACTTAGACTTAGACTCAAACACATTTCAGAATAGTACAGAGTGAGTATGATCCCAATTTATTTGTAACTATATATTTTTTAAATGACTTGATGATACACTCCAGGAAGTTAATAATGACTAGTTTTAGGCCATGAGATCATACTATACCTCCTTATGCTCTTTCAAACTGTACTACAAATCATATATTTTTATTTTCAGAAAAAGTTCAGGTTTAAGTAATGTAAGCATAAAAGGGGCCTCTGGGGAACAAACATTGTGGAATGTATAATTCTATAGAAATGATTATGTTAAATAAATGAAAATGTTTAAATGGTAAGCAGAAGTTCTACCACACCTTGCACAATTGCTAGTATGTAGGCATTCCAAAAATGTCTGATGGAAAGAAATGGATGCTTAGGGTGACAGAGTGCATGATAGGAAAAGATACAGACAGGTCAAGAGACCAGATTTGGAAGAAAGGGACACCTGCCATTCTAGTGAAGAAATCTTCAGAGAAAGAAAAGACCACTGGAAGGGTTCTTGGAGCAATCTTCCTGGGGAAAGTATTCCCAGAGAGAAAGTCAGCTTGAGAACACAGGGAGAACTGAAAGAGTAAAAGAAGATAAACCTCCCTAGAAAGGAGACTGGGGAGAATGTCGTGCAGATCAAGTGCTTCAGCTGGACAGGGTCAGAAGCATCTAGGGCAGTGCATGTTGCAGACTAAGGTCTCTGAATGCTTATAGAAAGGATTATAAGGATCAATGTGCAGGAGAGGTCTTCGAGGGTCTCCTGGTGGAAGGTATATGCAAAAAAAGATCTGAGCCCTGACATATAGGATGATCATGATTCACAGCTGTGTTTATTACACTCTTTTCTATCTATGTATTGTAGTAAAATATAAAGTATTCAATATTATAGATATAACAAATGCATTTTATACCTCCATCTAAATGCTGGGCTGCGGGGGACAATGCCTAAGCCATCTGGACCCCTTTCCCCAAACCAATAGAAACGAGCCTGAGGCAGGATGAGTTGTCCCTTGTGAGTACTCCCGTGCAGCAGGGTGCTGGGGCTCGGTCATCCTGCCCTGAGAGCAGGTTGTGTACCTTGCCTCCCATGCAGTGTCCAGTGATATCACAATTGTAGCTTGACATTTGCCGTGATGGGAATATTTACTCCTCCAAAAGTGACCAAATACTACAAATCAGGCTTTCCCCTCCCCAGAGCCAGTTATGAAGCTTTCATCAGCACAACATTGTTCCCATGAAACATTTATCATTGCTTTACTCTTCTCTGTCTTCTATTTCCCCACCTTGGCTAAAAATCTAAGAAGGGCAAGGACCCTGTCTGTCATTTTATAGTTGCATTCCTAGCATCTAGCACATGCCTGGCATATAGTAGGTAATGTATATGATCAATTACCCACACAACTGGTTAGCAGGCACTTGACTTTCTTGAGCTAATTTGCTCATCTCGGTTGAGCCAGGTGGGGTGGCACACACCTGTAATCCTAGCACTCTGGGAGGCTGAGGCAGGAAGATCATAAGTTTAAGACCAGCCTGATCAATATAGGGACTTAGACTCAAACTCAAAATAAAAAAGAGCTAGGAATGTAGCTTAGTATGAAGGCCCGTGGTTCATCTCCAGTACCACAAACAAAAAAAATGTGATTTGGCCACATAACAGAGGAACAGAGAAGCAAAGTGTTCTGCTACCCTCTCACACCACTCATTAGCCAATTTTGTGGTTTAGTAAAAACTTCATTGAAATAATTAGGGTTTCCAGATAAAATAAATTTTTTTTTGGTACCAGGGATCAAATTCAGGACCTTGCACTTGTGAGGCAGGCACCAGAACCACTGAGCTAAATCCCCAGCCCAAAAATATAAATTTTTGACGGGCTACACTTACATTAAAATATTATTTATTGCTTATTTGAAATTCAAATTTAACTGAGCATCCTGTATTTTAATTTGCTAAATCTATCAATCTTCACTTTTAAACTAAGCAAACAATAGTTCATAAGGTATACCCAGTAAAGTTGAAGATTCTCTGACTTAGCATTTCCATTCCAAAGAATATATTCTAGAGGAGTTCCTGCTCATGTGCACCAGGAAATAAGAACAAGAATGTTCACCTCAGTATGGTTTGTAGTAGCCAAAAAACTGGAAAACACCCAAAGGCTCATCGGCAAGAGAATGAATAAGTAAACTAGAGTTACGTATATTCACACAAAGGGATACTACATAATAATCAAATGCTTACAAATATGTTGATTTTTAAAAACCAAATTACTAAGACAGGCATGATAGTGTACTTGGGAGACTAAGGCAGAAAGGTCTCTTCAGCCCAAGAGTTCTGGACCAGCCTGTGCAACATA